AGCTGTTTGGCCCTTAGATTTTGGAAAGCGCATTTGGTGCAGTTGTCAGTTTTGGAATGTGGAAATGCAGATTAAAATATCGCAGGGATCTGCTTGGAAGATGCACAGCTGGTAACTGTCGCTGGAAAAAGAGCCTGCTTCTAAGCTGGTGTACAAGACTCAAGGAGGTGTAAGATCTCCTTTACTGTTTCCCTGTTTCAAAGCATTGGCCAAATTTAGCATTAACTTAACTAAATACAATGTGTAACTTCTTGTCTTCTGAGATCTTATGAACTTTTATGTTGACATGTTTTTCCAGCTCAAGCCATGTTTCACAAGAGAAAGGTAGATTTGTCTACCCTTAGGGAACCTGACCAGAAGAGGTTTCGACACAATGTTTCCAATTTGTTTTTGACCAAGACTGTCGCTGCTAGAAGAGCCAATGAGCTCATGAAAGATGCACAAATAGCTGGAGCTACTGGTGTGAAAGATTTGGTCAAAGGTGCAGAGAAATCTGGCAGTGGTGAGAAGCAAGCCAATTGGGAAAAGAATTTGGCAAGGGATATGAAAAGAAAAATGTTGAAGAATTGCCTGTGGTTCAATGAATACATTGCATTGATCCCTTGCTACAATCCTGGAACACAAGCAGAAGAGATGAAGAAGATACCTTTTCTTTTGCCACATGAGATTCTTTTTGTCTTCTCGAAGCGCTCTGAGAAGAAAGGCTTGCTGCAGACTGGTGGCATGTGTGAACTCAGCAAGAAACATTTGGCGAACATGCAAATGCAGTTCCAAGTTCGAGAAGCCATAGGACTTGGCCTGCGGATCGATGGCACACCTTACAATTATGACAGAAGTCAAACTTTGGAATGCATCTCATTGAATTTTCCTGGCTTACTTCCACCTAATGGTACTTTGCGAATCCCTTTGTGCTGTATTCCAAAGCACTGGTGCATCAAGGGAGTAACTTTGTCGAAGATGTTAGGAATTTTGTCTTGGTCTTTTATTCACTTAGCCAATTGCACTTGGCCTTCAGCAAGGCATGATGGCAGCTTTTGGCACCCAGGCGACAAAAAACGAAGCACATTCAATGGCAAGGCATTGCCTTTCACTGCTTTTTTACTTGAAGTGAGAGGTGATTGGGCTATGAGAAAAGAAGTTTTCCAATTTCCTGGATGGCGAGACAAACAAGGATGCTGCCATTTGTGCTTGTGCAAACCACTTGAAATTCGAAACTTTGAAAGCTGCAAGGCATTTGATCCTTTGGACCATTTCACTTTGTTGCAATCCATTTCCAATTCTGGCATTGACATCAATGAATTGTTTCAAACACCAGGACTGACAAGCAAACAATTTCTTTTGGACTGGCTTCACATTGTGGACTTGGGCGTGGCAGCAGATTTTATGGGCAATGTTTTTCACCATTTAATTGCCTCTGGAAATCACTTGCCTGGCAACAATGTCAAAGAAAGGGTGAAAAGCTTGTTCCACAGAATTCAAAGCTACTACAAGACTGAAGGTGTGGAAAACAAGCTTCCTACTTTGACAGTCCTCATGATCAGAAAGAAAGCCAGTTCAAGTCCAAAACTTCGAGCCAAAGCTGCAGAAGCTCGAGGGTTGATTACTTTTGCAAAACAAATCTGCGATGAATTTTTGGCTGATGACAATGTGCTTGAATATACAATCAAGATGGCTGCCACAGAACTGTGGCAATGTTATTCTTTCTTGTCCAAGAATCTATGGAATCACCAGTCAATGCTGCTGCATGGCAGAAAGTTTTTGCTGTTGTGCAAGAGCTTGGAAAACGAGACTGACCATACTTGGAAGATCAAACCAAAGCACCACAGCTTCTTAGATTTATTGCTCCAGAACTCTTGTCCATCAGACAGTTGGACATATCGAGACGAAGACTTTGGTGGCTTCCTAGCTCACTTAGGAGCTGTGAAAGGTGGAAGCCACAACCCTTTTTCCATAGGCATGAGTGTTCTGCAAAGTTTTCGAGCACAAGTGATTCCAGAGCTGAAGTGAAAAGTTTTGCTGCCAGGATCTGGGATAAGGAGGTTTCAAGTCTCCTGCTGAAGGAGGTGCAAGATCTCCTTGCAATTGAAAATTTAAGGAGGAATTTTAAGGAGGAATTTTTCAAAAATTCCACCTTAATTTAAGGAGGAATTTTAAGGAGGAATTCCTTAAATAAGGAGGAATTCCTCAAATAAGGAGGAATGGAAGTTCTGGGTACGACTACTACGACTACTGCGACTACTACGACTACTACGACTACTACGACTATTACTACGACTATCACTACGACTATATCACTACGACTATATCACTACGACTTTTACTACGACTATCACTACGACTATCACTACGACAATCACTACGACTATCACTACGACTATCACTACGACTATCACTACGACTATCACTACGACTATCACTACGACTATCACTACGACTATCACTACTATACGACTACTACGACTACTACGACTACTACTACGACTACTACGACTACTACTACGACTACTACTACGACTACTACTACGACTATTTACTACGACTATTTACTACGACTATTTACTAACCTACGACTTTTAACTTTAACTACTCTACTACCGGACCTATATTTTACTAAGAGTTTAAACATTTACTACGACTATTTACTACGACTATTTACTACGACTATTTACTACGACTATTTACTACGACTATTTACTACGACTATTTACTACGACTATTTACTACGACTATTTACTACGACTATTTACTACGACTATTTACTACGACTATTACTACGACTATTTACTACGACTATTCTACTAGATATTACTACGACTAACACCACACCACCACCACTTTCCTTCCTCCTTCCTTCACCCGATTTTGTTTGTTTGATCCTTATTTGTTTTTTTAATATCCGTTAGAGCAGGGAGCGAGGACGAGGGAAGGAGGGAGGAGGCGAAGGAGGGGAAGGAGGAAGGAGGGAAGGAGGAAGGAGATGGGAAGGAGCGAGAGAGGAGGGAAGAGGAATGGAGGGAGGGAAGAAGGGAAGAGGGGAAGAAGGGAAGAAGGGAAGAAGGGAAGAAGGGAAGAAGGGAAGAAGGGAAGAAGGGAAGAAGGGAAGAAGGGAAGAAGGGAAGAAGGGAAGAAGGGAAGAAGGGAAGAAGGGAAGAAGGGAAGGGAAGGGAAGGGAAGGGAAGGGAAAGGAAAGGAAAGGAAAGGAAAGGAAGGGAAAGGAAAGGAAAGGAAAGGAAAGGAAAGG